AATACTCAGCTAGGACAGACTTGTAAATATGCAAATGTGCTATTTACGTCAAACTGTTACTATTTTATTATAAAAGGGCTATTTTACGTGTGATGTATAAAGTTTTAGAAACTTTTACAGTAAACTTATCCTGCTCGAAATCCCACTTCCACTCCCCGTGATGAGCAGGGGGGGCAGATGACAGGCGGAAGGGTGATTTTTGTTATTTTATCAATAAATTCTGTACAACTTACATGTCTCTTGACTTGTGTTTACCTGTATATTGGCGCAATCGAAAAAAAAATATTGGCGCAAATGAAAAAATTAATTGGCGCAAATGAAGTGCAGATTGGCGCAAATGCAAAACGCCGTTTGAACATATGTTTATAAATTGTGCCAATCTGTCACAATTAACTGATTTTCTGAAAGATTTTCTAATAAATATCATGTGCAATGTTGATGATACCTTTGTAAACACGCTTGATTTTGACCAAACGATACTGATGTTTATTTTGAAAAAAAGCTCTAGGTATCCAGCCACAACTGACTTATGAGACACTTTCGCTTAAAGACTTATTCTAACATTCATTAAAAATGAATAAATAAAACTTTTACAATAACAGAACATACTATACACAATATTTTCTGCGATTAAACATAAAATATAAAGATTTTGCTAAAAAGGGTTGTATACAGTCATGTCACATCAGAAAAATAAATTTGTCATCATGATTAAAATCGTTAAAATTTGGGTTAATTGCACTTGCTTTCAAAGATAGACTATATCGCAGATCTGAATAAAATTCACAATGCATTAAAAAATGTTTTTCGTCTCCTACACAATCAACTGTACAATATTTACATTTTCGGTCATTAAGAAGAGTTTTTGGCTTGGTGTAACGACCTGTTTCTATTGCTAAAGGTAGACACCCACTTCTAAAATTAGATAAAATACGTCTATGTTGTCTATCATTTACATTTTTTATATATGAACTTGTTTCTAATTCATTTTTATACAGTCTATAGGTACGTAACTTGTTACCATTTGGTTCATTTCTATCTTGATACAATTTTTCAACCCATTCTTGTTTTTCAATTTCACACAATTTTGTTTTTATATCATAAATTTTATGTCTGTTGGAATATTGACTATCAATAATATCATGTATACCAAGTTTATGTGCTATTTCATAACATTTCTTGTCCCACGATCGAGAAATATTCATACCCCACATATGGACCTTGTGTGTTATTCTATAGTCATACGTATATCGCACTCTCAAAAATAGAAGGTACGTTTCTAAAAGTTCGGCTGATTTTGTTGTTTTATAACCCATTATGAGTATAGCAAGATTAAGTATCTATAAAAGAAGAAATTTCGTATTGTTGGATCCTCAAGCTAAACTCAATTTAGTAGACTATTTTAAAACATTGTTAGAAAAATACATCTCTCACTTTTTTTATCTTTTAAATATGAGAAAAGAAAATTTATTATTAGAAAAATATTGTATATCAGATAAACGTACAGAAATATTGTTACTGTATTAATTCTGAGACTACTATAACACAGTGGTCTCAGATTAATTCTAAACTAGCATGACTAGTTGATAAGTAAAAGAATTAACATATTAAAACTTTTGTTGAATTGCTTTTGATATTGTTTTAATTAACTACATGTAACTGTTTGTTTGTGACACCAGGTACTCTCCGGTGAATTTTTATTGTACATATTTGAATAAAATTTTATCAAGAGAAAAGACCGATGGCTACAGTGCTATAGGTCCCGAGTTCGATTCTGACTCGGGGCGCTGAAAATTTCAGTACATAAGAAAGGTGAGTTTCACCCTCCCACACAACAGGCACTTGTCTCTGAAAAATATTTTTATGCCCCCGCCGTAGCGGTGGGGGCATTAAGTTTTACCCTTGTCCGTCTGTACGTACGTACGTCCCAAAATTGGTTTCCGTTCTCTAACTTGAGTTTGCCTCAACCAAATGTTATGAAACTTATACACGATGCTTATTACCACAAAACACAGATCAAGTTTGAATTTTGGTGGCGTCACTTTAAACTTTCTAGAGTTATGCCCCTTTATAAATAGAAAAATTGCAAAAAATTTAGTTTTCGTTCTCTAACTTAAGATTGCCTCAACCAAATGTTATGAAACTTATACACAATGCTTATTACCACAAAACACAGATCAAGTTTGAATTTTGGTGGCGTCACTTTAACCGTTCTAGAGTTATGCCCTCATATCCAGAAATCAACGCCACTTTGCTTATTAGAATATTATACTAAAGAAATCGGATACGGGTTACGGAAATTATATTAAAATGATAGGGAATTCAGAAAAAATGTCTGTTTTAACTTTGATTTAAGTGATAGACAGGTTGCCGGGGCAGAAAATAAATATACACAACAATAAACACCATTTAAACGAAATATAATGACTGGCGTTGCAAAAATCAAGGTTCCTGAGCTATTTTAAAAATCGAAGCGAGAGGCTTTTAACATTGCAGTATGAAATACAGGCTAAAATGGCTGAAACGTCAAATTTGCAAACTTCGTGTTGAAAATTGGCTAACAAGGTCATTAGAAATACAGGTTGCCGGGGTGAAACTTGAAACTTGAATGTCCAAAGAATAAGCAAGTCCAAACCTTGTATGTGTAGTCGGTGAACTCTAGGTTCCCACGTAAAGTTAAAATGCCTCTATTTCAAGAAGAATAAACTCACGAAAACACGAAAAATTCACTAAATTCGCGTTCATTGTTTTGATTTTGACCGCCCGACAACTTTACGGAAATATCAGAGTGATTATAAACAAGGACTCTGTGACGGGCAACTTATAATATCCGTGTTTTCAAGATTTTAATGATATCAAGCCAGTCCAGTTCAAACTATTATCACGTGGTACAATTCTCATTTACATATTATGAATATTAATTAGCAAAAGTACTACTAATTTCTGGCTATGTTTATAAATGGAAAAATTGCAAAATTTTTATTTTCTTCTAAATATCAAGTAATTTTTAAAATTGAAGTTATCTTCCTTTGTCCATGATTATAGTTGAATCAACTACAATCAATACTTTATACAATGCAATGTTTAATTTTGACTTCCACTGATAAAACACAGATCAAGTTGAATTTGGGTAGTGTCACTTGAACCATTATTGCCGAGTTAACTTTAACCATTATTGAGTTATGCCCCTTAATAAATCGAAAGATTGCAAAATTTTTAGTTTCCATTCTGTAGTTTGCCCCAACCAAACATTATGAAACCTATACACAATATTCATAACCACAAAACTAAGATCAAGTACAATTTTTTTGTTTCCGTTTTCTAACTTTAGTTTGCCTCAACCAAATGTTATGAAACTTATACACAATGCTTATTACTACATAATACAGATTAAGTAGGAAATTTGGTGGCGACACTTTTACCATTCTTGAGTTATGTCCCTTTATAAACATAAAAATTGCTGAATTTTTCGTTTCCGTTCTCTAACTTTAGTTTGTCTCAACCAAATGTTATAAAACTTATACACAACCGTTCTAGAGTTATGCGTGTTTACAAATAGAAAAATTGCTGAATTTTTAGTTTCTGTTCTCTACTTAAGTTAGCCTCAACCAAATGTTATGAGACTTACACACAATGCTTTTTACCACAAAACTCAGATCAAGTTCAAATTTGGGTAGCTTCACTTTTCCCGTTCTTCAGTTATGTCCATTTATAACTATATGATATGCAAGCGGGGATATCATCTGTGTCCACATGTGGACACTATCCACATTTTTTCTTATATACCTACATGTATATAAGGTATATAGGAAATTTGTTTTCTGAGACAAGTGCCTGTGCTTTGGGGGCCTCGTCAACTTGTCCTGGAGATTAATCTACTAGTATCTCTTCGGTTTGTCTGTTCCCGTTGAGCAGCCCGGTGGTTCTCTCCGAGTACTTCGACAAAGATTGAGCAACACGAACGATTAAGTACGAGTTAGCAAAGGTACGAGTTTTCGTGCAACAGAAGATAAAAGGTCACCCGGGTCTCACTAATTAGCGACAAGAAGCGTCAAGAAGCGACAAGAAGCGACAAGAAGACTATTTAGCGACAAGAAAACATTTTTTTTTATTAAGATTACTTATTCCAAATAAATATTAAAAAATATGCATTTACTTTTTTTTAATATATGGGCAGAAATAAATTGATAATTTTTTTTTATTATATTGACAGAGACATATATACACACATATGTGTAAATATGTCTCTGATATCATCAAGTTGATAGATGAAGAAATTAAACATTTGTAAGGAAGAAAGGGATCGTGTAGCTTTTATTAAATATAAAGAATATGTTTAAGATAATGTATGTACTGTTTTCATCAAAGTCAGAGTATGAATAATCTTCAATCAACATTAAACTATGGATAAACATTATAAATATCGTTAAATGAGGCAATATACAAAATAAAATGATGAAAAATATTCACATTTTGATTATGTTTTCCTCTTGTTTGATTTCAGTTCTTTGTATTTCACAATTTGTGTCTGTATTTTCTTGACAATGATGCACAAATAATGCATTTTGCAAGTTTATTGTATATTGTACAAAGCCTGGAGAGTTTTAAAAACAAATTATAAGATAAATATATTATTGTTCTAAAACACAAGTAAACTTAATATCATAATACGACAGGGTAAACGTAATACTTGCTGTAATACATAATAAATAATAAAATATCACAAATAAATGTAGCAATTAGATCTATGTTTAAAAAAATTTGTGACAGTGCTTTTATTACTATAAAAATGACTTTTCAGTCTATTTATGTATTGATAGAATATTAACTTTCTTGTCGCTAAAATTGTTTTCTTTTGCATATTCTTTTAATATTTATTTGGAATAAGTAATCTTAATAAAAAAAAATGTTTTCTTGTCGCTAAATATATTCTTCTTGTCATTCTTGTCGCTAAAATTCTTCTTGTCGCTAATTAGTGAGACCGGGTCACCCGGATGAGGGTACACCACGGATGACAAGGGAGAGAATTTTATGAAAATGAAAAATGGCTACCTTTGAACGGTGCGATTTGTGGTTTTACTTTCTTACTCTTTTTTTAAGTTGTCAGAGCATAATATTAAGAGAAAATGACACATTTAACGAAGAGCTCTTTGTCAAACCATTTAAAAGTGGCCACGAATTATTTTTTTTCCAGTTTACAACACTCTGGAACTCGAGAAAGCCATGTGAGTATATCAGTGTAAATAACTTAATTAGCCTGGGATCCTGGCTCGCTGCTTGACAAAAGAGCCTTGATCTTGATCTTAATATGGTACGGTGACACGTCAGATGGACATTACTACACCGCGCGTCCGTCACGTAGCGATTAGTTCAAATACCCCCTCCCCGGCGTGACTTTTTATGCAGGGGAAACCCGGGACCATGTGGAGCTGGTGCAATCAATTACACAGAGGACTCAAGACCAGCCATGCGACTACATAGACCTGTCGCTCAAAGAGGATCCATCTTGCTGGCAGAGCTGGTAGCAATTGTAATTGTACTGGAATTTTGTATACTTGAAGAATATTATAGTTATCTCGTACCATTGTAAACTCGTACCAATGTCAACTCGTACCACTAAAAAAAGGGTAACACGAATGACCGAATAACACTGTTATTATTCAAATAACACTTGAAATGACCCAATAACACTTGAAATTTTAATATTAGCACATGTTGGTGACTTTTGAACCACAGGCCCAGCAGTCCAGGCTTGTAAAATTCCTTCTGGGCCTGTAAAAATCATCTGCACAGGCCAACAGAGTCTAACTAAAATTTTCCAAAATTTGAGCTCCTGGCCTGTAGATTTAAAAGTTTATCGTGAAGACTGTGATTATTAAATAATATTATATTATAAGTGTATTTTTGACTTAAAAATGATTTACAGAAAGCAGGTAAGTTCATAAAGATCATTTTAAATTTAGTGTGTACATCCAACATGGCAACCATTGTGATTTCCGTGGTCGCCATGTTGGATGTACACACTATATTTAAAATGATCTTTTTGAACTTACCTGCTTTCTGTAAATCATTTTTAAGTTATAAAATACATTTATAATATACTATTATTTAATAATCAATGTTTAAAAGTCACCAATATGTGCAAATATTAAAATTTCAAGTGTTATTCGGTCATTACAAGTGTTATTTGGATAATAACGGTGTTATTCGGTCATTCGAAGTTCCGCTAAAAAAAACTCGTACCAAAGCAAACTCGTACCACTGCTAACTCGTACTACGGTAAATTCATACCATTGTAAACTCGTACCAACTTATTTAAATGCATTCAAATGGTGTTTAATGATGAATATATACGTTAATTTCACTCAATACCTCTTAAGTCTGTAAAATGTATATACATGTAATTTGAAATTACAATGACCAATTTGTAGCTACCTATATTTCCGCACTTTCTGTGTTGCCATTTAGAACATACATCACACTCTATTGCTTCTTGTCGGGGTCTAACCAGAGAGTGGCACCATATACAATTGTCGTCTTCCATTGTGGTTATGAGGAACCTAGCTCACAAACATGCCCCATTTTATGAGGAAAGTGGGCTTTGAGACATTACTCATGTCAGCTTATGTTTTGATAATCAGGAATTTCATTTAATAATAAACATTATACATTTAATTCCAAGCTGATAAATTATATAACAACAATCAAAATTTAATAATATGATTAAACAAGTTGATTTTTGTCTAAGTTTTCATTAAAATCTGGTATAAAATTCAAAGATATTTTAATTTTTTGTATAAAGCTTAAAAAAAATAATCATAAAACATTCGTATTTTTGTCTAAGTTTTCATTAGAATATAGAAGAAAATTCAAGTAATTCAATTTTTTTTATTAAGATTACCAAAAAAAAATCATAAAACATTCGTATTTTTGAATATATTTTTAATGGTACGAGTTTGCAGTGGTACGAGTTCTGATTGGTACGACTTCCCAGTGGTACGAGTTTACATTGGTACGAGTTAACTTGCTTCCTACTGGAAAGACTATATAACACTATCACCACACTTAAGATCTTTTCTGACAGTCAAAGTGCAGTAGGACTCCTAACACTAAATTGGGCACCAAAATCATATATTGATGTGATTCGAGACATCAGAGAACACATCGAAGACCTAAGAACTAAAGGGATGGAAATTTGCATCTATGGACACCAGGACACGCAAATATACAAGGAAACGATGAAGCAGACTTATTGGCAAAGCAAGCTGCAGAAGAAGCAACACAACTCCTGCCAAAAAAACAACATAATTACCCTTCAAGACATTAAACAACGTGCACACAAGAGTGTCATGCTGAGTGGCAAAGACGATGAGAATTAAGCAACACTGGAAGAGACCTTTTTGATATAACACCATACATGTACGTTAAAAACATCCCAATCTTTGACTACCCAACAAAAAAAATTCTTCAGCATCTTCATACAACTAAGAACTGGCTATACCACCCTTAATTACTATAAACAGCACACAGAGCAAAATACCACCGAATTATGCAGCTGTGGAACTAAAGAAACACCGCAACACTACCTCACAGAGTGCTCCAACTATGAATGTTACAGAGAAGAAATGTACCACCAAATTACAAAGGAAATAGGAATCCGTAAAATAAATACAGGCACCCTGCTAGGAAGATTAGAACAAGAAAACACAGAAGAATATAAACGGAAGTTGGAAATCATTTCGGTCTTTATTGCAAAAACAGGACGTTTTGACTTACCAGAACATCCGCAACCTCAATCGTAACAGCAAAAACAAAATTAAAGTACATGGAGGAAAATACATGGAGAAAGATTCACATAGGGCGTAATATGCACCAATGAGAACAGTTGTGCCATAAGGCCATAAGATTGAGGATTGAGGATACCCCAATATACCCCAACATACCCCAATATACCCCAAAAAACAGTTTCAACATAATTTGATTGAATAATAATGTTATTTTAGGCACTTTAATGTTAAATTAACAAAAATAATTCCTAATTTTATGAATATATGTAATTTTATATCACTTTTTTCCTAGTTACTTGTTCCGTTCATATTAGCCGCTTACGATCAAAATATGACTTTTGACCCCAATATACGCAAATATCAGTGGCGGATCCAGAGGCGGGCGTAGAGGGCGTACGCCCCCCCTTTGCTTGCACTTTTTTTCTTTTTTTTTTGTAAAATGATTAATCAGACTAGACTTCGTGAACTTTGCCATTTCCCGTGTATTTAATTTTTATGCGACAATTCTTTACTTATAAATATATTTTTCGCTTGTATTTACTGTAATATATTATTGATTATGTCAAAGTCATGTGATTCTCTACGGTGGAGTTGACCAGTTCGTCGAAAAAAACCGTCACTCAGTCATTTTGAAATTCAAATTACAGTAACACATTGCTTAGGCTGAGGATGACAAGCATGACGCCTTCAAAGCGACAAAGTATTGAGCAAGAACATATTGACTTCTATTTCACAATTCCACCCAACAGAAAGTAATACTCTATTACACTCTCATGAAAAAAAAAGTTTCACAGCAATATTATTTACCTTCGAAAACATGTTTAACCCTCATGCCCCAGCCCATTAATAACATTGCTGAATAGTGATCCCCAGTCAGTAAGCTCTAGATATACATTTAAAGTCTAAGGTACGGACCATTTGATCTGAAGGGGCAGTCTGAGATATTTTAAAGAAAAATTCTGACCCTGATTTTTGCCTTAAACAAAAATTCTGGCCGTATCTGGATTGAAAACAATAATCTTGTCCACTTTTTTGCTATTAGAAAAAAATATTTTCAACAGAATTATTTAGCATTAAATGAACATGATGAATAAAAAACGGGCGTAATTTTTATTTGCAATGTCTGTTTCGCCAAACTTATATACTGAATACTTTTTTCAAGGCCCGACTGCAACCTGCCTGCTGGGTGTGGTCTATATGTCGCCATGCGTCGACCATCATTCACAACTTCATTGTCATTTCTGACTCATTCGTAGCCTTTGGTTGATTTGGAACCCCTCACTTCCCTTGTTGGGTGAAACATTTCAACCAAACATTTGGATGAAAATTGCTTGTTTGTCTTTCTTCGTGTCGGTCGTATTGTAAATTTCATTGAATAGCCGTATATCTTGTTTACAACAAGAAATCTGTGAGGTTATGCTAACTAACCATACAACAAACGAGAATTTTCCATGTCCATTTTTTACTGACAAATCCCACATCAAATATATTAATTAGTACATAGCTTTGGATCCATCCAATCATTTCATAATAGACAATTGATTGAGAGAATACGGCACCCCTACACTTTAACTATAAAATACATTTTACACTTATTTTATGTTTTTTAGTGAAAAAAAGGTCAAAAAAAATTTTCGCCTCCCTCTGCTCAGCAAACTTTAATACTACGCCCCCCTTTCCAAAATCCTGGATCCACCCCTGAATATACTCCAATAAAAAGTTTCAATACAATATTTATGTTAAGAATGATATTGCAAACCATATATATTAAATTTTAATACAACTGTACACATTTGTGTGCTTTTAGAAGCATTTAAAACAGAACTTTATTCGTATCTTGATGAAGGTAACACTAAAGACCAAAACGGACCTAAAAATATACAGGTCAATTTTTGCAATTTCTTTTATACTTTTCAATGGATTATCTTCAAATTTGGAGATTGTTAATGAAATTTGTGTTTTTCTCAAATTAGATTTGAATTTGTTTTCTCAAATTCTGAAATATTTTTCTCAAATAATTTTATTTTCTTACAGAAAATACACACATGAAATAAGATTTTTCCTATCTCCTTTGAAAAAATAATAGACAGTTTCTCAAATAATTTTGTTTTCTTACAGAAAAAAGATTTTACCTATTTTCTTTGAAAAAATAATAATTAGTTTCTCAAATAGTTTTGTTTTCTTGCAGAAAATAAGATTTTTCCATTTTGTTGTTGTTGATATATTAATCCTCATATGCTCGACATTTAAAGTTATTTTTTTATATACATGTATACTTATATATATTTCAAATATTTACATCTTCCACTCAGTCAGGACATTGGTCAGCGTAGAGTCAATGTTGGTCAGGTTGGTGTGTTCACGTTTCTCATTCCAACATTTGATATTTTTGTATACAGGTAAATACTTTCTTGTTGGAGAAACATGATTTTTTGGTT